GTGATAACAATCAATAAACAGTCATTGTAAAATGACTTCTACTGGATGCAAATCCAAAGCCTTTAGGTATTTTAATAATTGAGCAAACTCATGTCCCTCTGAATCTGGGGTGGGGAGGGAAACCTGAAGGCAAGCAGCTTTCTCAGTAGCCCAAGAACAAGAAAAGGAGCACTGTAGTAAATGCCTCCAGCAGCCAGTTAAGAATTGTACAAAACTATCTCACAGCAATAATCCTCATATTTGCTGCAAGAAGTTGACACTTGGTTTGGTGCTTACTGCCTGCGTATTTGCAGGTACTTTGCATGCTGTTACCTTGAGAAGAGATGATAGGTCCCCAATTCTCTTAAGCGACAGGCTGACACAGGAAGGTAATGGGTCTGCTATAGCTCCTATAGCTACAGCTCGCAGATAATATTTTACCTCATGCAGTAGAACACACAGGCTTATCAATAGCAAGAGCTCCTAGGCCTAGTCTGTACTTTTGGTCCATGGGAGATCCCCATGTCAGGGCGGAGTGACCATCCAACCTACCACTACTATTTGCTGAACATCCTTCAGTGCTTTCTGATGGACATGAAACCCCTTCCCTGTGTGTTTTCCACACAGCTTGGCCACCAGCTGCAGTCAGGGTAATAACTCTGAGGAAGTACCATGTTGCCAGCTTTCCAATGCAGACCAAAATTGTCTTGCCAGAGGGGCAGGTCCTCAGCTGTGAGAGATCGCTTCTCTCTATTTGCATTTGGCAGAGATGCAGTTTATACTAACTGCGGATCTGGCTCAAGATGACTGGAAAAGAAGATGATCCAAAACTTTTTGGTCTGCTTCACTATTCAAAACTTATTCTGGTCCACACACAGTTCACACTGCACTGCTCTGCATGACAGGCTGTTAAACCTGGCAGCTCAGCGCATCAAAAGCTTCTCTGTCCTCCCTCATTATCGCAGAGATGAATGGTGCAATTTCATCTTCCCTCCTACCCTTCTTACAGCATCTGAGAGGCACCTGTATGAGAACTATTCACTGTACACCAAACATTAGCTAGAATCACTGGAACAAACAACAAATACCACAGCTGGATAGCAATCTCTAGGAACAAAGCTCATAAACCTAGGGAACCTTTTTTTGTCCAATAAATGCATTTTCTAAGTTCTGCTGCATTGTCTGCACATAAACACCAGCAGAACAAGCCAACACTTACATTCAGCCCAAGTCCTGCCAACCCCAGTCTCCGTTCTACCATATGTAGTAGAACAGGGACAGTGAATTTTATCTGCTGCAAAACCTATAGTTACCATGACAATTCAGGTACATACAGAACACTGCAAACAAAAGATTAGGCAAACTAAGCATAGACCATTTATACTACAGCCCAAAATTCCCTCTTCTGTCCAGACCTTTGGAAAAAGAAAAAAAACTAAAACCAACCACAAAATGAAATTATTTCTATGCCATGTGAACATGGCATCAAGGAGACCAGCACAGCTGGTGAACTCCACCAGTCAGACAAGATAAGCTTACACAAAGCACGAAGACAAAAGCCACACAAACTTACATATCCTTATTGTAGCAGGGGTAAGGCATGGCCTGCACTTGAACAGCTATTTCCTCTGGATTCTTGCCAGTCTGTAATTGGATAATGGCTCTTTCAATGCTGTCCTGGATATAAATAAATGCCCGGCTGTAAATCTGGCTCTGCGAGGTGGAATTGTGCGGGCCCACTGTCCAGATGCGCTCCCTTATTCTGTTGGTGGTTTGCGTGATCCTGCTACTCATTCGGATGGTGTAGTTGAGCACAGGAGGGAGGGATACGTCCTTGTGAACTGAGCGTCCAGGGCTACTACTGCTTGAAGGCAGCTTGAAAATGATACCTTGGAAAAGAAAGGGAAAAGGCTTTCCTTCAGAGTCAATAGCATGGGAGCAGTACACACAGATATGTAGCAACTCCTCAATTTTATAAGCCTTTTCTACATTACAATCCATCATTTCATTCCTTTGCCACACAAATAATGCTCAGGTGGGTATGCTGTCTATCAAGGGTCTGGAAGTGGAAACTATGCATCACTGCAGCTACTCATACTTTCAAATGTGACCAGTGATTCTGGGTGTGAAATACACCCCCAGAGCCTTTAAATCTTTTCCCATTCAAAAACCAAAGACTCTCAAAATAACCAGCTGTGTTTGGAAAAAATCTTGCTGTTAACATGGACTGTCACATATCTGTTAGTTATGTCACTCAGCACAGGCACCCCTCATGAACGTGCCCAAAGGTACTCTACCAAGAGACCTCACGTAGTGATGCTCTAACATAAAAACCTCAGGAATGCGGTGTTGAAAACTGTTCATGACCTATACACATATTTCTGTGCCCACACAAATTCCTGTAAAGCTGAGATGTCTAAGAATATAAAAGCTTTGAAAGTTCCTGTTAGGAAATGGCATGCTGTAGATGCAGTTTGACAGACAGAACATTTTTTTCCTTTAAAGTGTCTGTTTGAGTAGAGGAAATACCCACAGAAGGTTTTCCCTCCAGAATATTTTTCCTGATTATTCCATATATATAGCATACAATGGGATGGAGGACAAACATGGAAGAAAACTGCTTATATGAGAATAGACAAATATTATCAGGGTCTGAAGTTCCAAGAAAGGAGAAGGTTTCCAACTACCCCTCAATTATGAGGTATAAAACCAAACAGGTCACAGGACTCAAGTCTATCCTAATTGAGGAGCTATTGGGCATTCTTTAAAAAATAAGACACTTCTGAATCATGCAAATTAATATAAGCTCCTATTCTCTACTCCCCCCTACCCCTCTCTGTAGTCTGACCTGAAGCTGCAATCCGATCCCACAAATGTGAAAAGTGTGACTGAGAAGACCCAATGCAATATTACAGTGTCTGGCTGGGGTCTCTCAAGAGCTTTATGACCTTCTAATAAATTGAATTGTCTCATTTCTTTCTTGATTAAAGCATCTTTTCCCATGGGGGCCTGAAAGAAGGCAGCTGTCATGAAGATCTCCTAGGGCCACTGAAATTTCATTGAAACTGAGAATTAACCAAGAGAAAATGCCAGCTGACCAAAGGCTTTCTAGAGGTGTAAGAGAAGAGGAGGTATAAAGAGGAGAGCGTAAAACACTGCCACATATGGGGGACTTGGTATGCAGGTTCCATACACGCTGGCTCAAAATCGATTGCTGTGTGGTGGGAGCTGTGACCACAACAGTTTCTGTGGGAAAGCCAAACTTCTTATGCTGTACTCCCACCCTGCACCAGGCCAACTTTAATTTACAGGGAGACTCGAGACACTATCACATACTTGCAAAAAGCTCGTTCTTCAGAAAGAGCTCTTTAGCCACCATTTCCATTTCCTCTAAGCTTTTGACTGCCCGAATACGATTAAATGAGACACAGGAGGACACATTTACAGCAAGGGTAGCTAACGTATTCAGCTGCTTGACAATGTCAGCGTTGTTCTGTAATTCCAGCCGAATATCATCTGAAAAAAACAAATCACAAACAAAACCAGTAGCACCACTACACATAGCAAAAAATCCATCATATCATTCTACTCTTTACACTAACAGTGACACTGGAAAGGAGGAAAAAACCCATCATACTACACATTACATGTAAAATATAATTCTGCACTTAGCAGTGCAATGAAGGCATGTTGTTGACCCAATTTTTATGTTAATCATTTGTAATATGCTCGTGAGTTTGCCTTTGGGAGGATGCCAGCCATGGGATGTGACAGCCATCCCAAATCGTAAGTTGCTACTAACCTGCTGAGGCTTGAGACTCACATATGATGCTCACCATTCATTCCACATCTTATGGTTTTTGATGTAATCAACTTGTCTGTTGAGCTGCTCTGTCTCAGGGGAGAATGTGCTTTATATAAGCACATCAAGGAAACATTATGTCTGCTGTGCTGATGTGTGTACTAAACCTGATAATGCAGTTTAATAAAGATGCTGCTGTTTCCTGGCTGTTTTAAAAGGTGACTGCATAATGCAGTGTAACTAATGTGGAACAGCTGCTGCAGGCATGATGATTTTATGGGGAGTTCAGACAGGAGATGCTACTCATGAAATAACACAGGGGTCATCACGAACAGTATGTAACTATCCTTCTGACTGCAAGACTACAACCACTCTTGGTTTATGCTGGGTTTTACTGGCATGTTGATTTATGTTGACATGTATGGCCACTCATTGAAAAAGCAGGTAGGGACAGTAAGACCAGCTAGGAAGGGACTATGATCACCATGCTGTGCACTAACAGGAGATATATCCACCACCACTGTTAGCTGAGGATTCACACAGTGCAGATCAGCAACTTTCACCTTGAAGGACCATACAAGACCAGCAGAGAACAACAAATTCCAGCAGAGCATCTCCCATAATGATACTTCTGGCTTCATCAGCCTGCATACCTTTAGCTGATTCCTTGCTTTTCCGCTCTGGAAAACTTTTAAGTTGAACCCCGATGTCATGCAAGTGAGCTCTCCACATTTCCCAGCAGAGTCCCAGGTAGCTCATCTGAAGTGATAATTATGGCTAAACAGTGTCCTCCAGTGGCCACACTCAGCTGCAGAGATTCCCATCCTACTATTCCTTCAACACTCATCAGAAATAACTCTTCATACAAGTCCTTTGCTTTCTAATAGTCTTTTCCCATAGACCACGAGATTTTTGAATCACAGCTAAGATTGCCTTGCACTAAAGCATCCAACACTGACCAAGAGCAGTACCAGAGCATGGCTACAGTTTGATGACTCTGGAGCTCCCAGACCTGAAGTACAAATAGGAGGGCCACACATGTGGTGGAACAACTTACCCAGTTCGTTTATTTGACTCAGCAGTTCAGCTGCATCCAAATCCACCATCAGCTTGATAAAAACCTGCACAAAGGGATTCTGCAGGGTGTTCTATCAACAAGCAAGAAGAAAAAGCATCAGTTTGACCAGAAGCCCCTTGAGCTTATTCAATGTATTTCTAAAATACAACAGACCAGCTGCCTTCACTGAGCATTTGTACAACCCCTTCCTACTCCTTTCCAGACCTTCCACATTTCACTCTGTGTATCAGGATGGGGAAATGTTAGCAATGAAAACATCCTACAGAGCCCTGTGAGTCCAAGCTAGTGTTTCTTGGTTTCAAGAGAGGATGCCTATTGAGTGTCCACCAGGCACTAGAGTCCCATGGAAAAAAATCACGGATAATCTTTGTTATTCTAAAAGTGCAGTAAATTTCATTTGTGTCTGCTTTAAGTCCTGTGAACACAGCCAGAGCACAATGGGTAGGCAACCAAAATTTAGCCTGGAGACCAGCAGACAGATTTTTGTTTGGCTGAATAGTTCATTATTCCACCAATGAGTGCAGTCAGTAGAGAATATTTCATTTCACTTTTGCATATTCCACTCTGGATTCTCAGTGCCATGGAAATTACAATGAATTCCAGACACTAAAATTAACTTTGAATGCTTTAGGGTTCCAGAGATCTCATTTTCACAGTTTTGTAAGAAAGAGAGACAATTTTTACTGCGGAGAATAGGAAGCAAGTATGTGAAACATTACAGCCTCCGGATTTCTGCATCCAAGCAAGGCTAGGCTCCTTAGGAGCAAAAAAGAAATTTTAGATACATTCACTGAGGTACAAAGACATCTTCTAGCTCTTATGTGTGTACCCAAAGCTACATGCTTATTATAGACGCTGTTTCATTTTCTGAAAAAGTCATTTCTTGCCTGGTCTTGGCTGGCTGGATCACTCCATCAAGCAGAAAGTTAATTTACAAACTGAGAGGCGTTCCCTGTTCATCTTAGCCCTCCAGCAGGCCTCAGCACGGCCAGTGTCAGGGAGCATATTACAAACAGATAATTTCAGAAAGAGGATTTCCATGGAAAGGTGTGTCAGGAGTATTTCTGTTACAGGAACAGACAGGCAGGCACAGAAACTGTGAAGTCCAGGACAAAAGCCTGACAAAGGGTCTCCCCAGCTGACCTAAGATGTCCTTGACATCCCTGAAACCTCAGTTTATTTCAGTGAAGAAATCCATCCTCCTGATTCCCTCCCACGAGAGAGACAGGGAAGGTAGGATCTCATACCTTGATCATTGGAAATGTCTGGTTTAACTCAGTCAGTGAATTCATGATGACAGGAGACTTGTCCAACCACTCCTGGGACTTCAGGGCTAGATCAGCCATCTGCTTCAGGGTTGCATTAGACTATAAAAAAAGCCCACAACATATAAGGATTAATTTATTCATTACCTTACAGCTTTTAAACAATCAGTAAAACAGCTAAGACCAAATTAGTTTTCTTTAGGATTTTTCTTAGCACCCTATCACTGTTCAGCAAAATGCCCCCTAACACACTGAATTTGGATGCAAGCACTTAAAAACATGGCTTCATGTGTGACATCTGGAACACACCTTGGATCAGCTTTCCTTCTACCACGGGTCTGCTTACAAACTGGTTATAGAATTTGTCCTGGGAAATATCTCTCTATTAGTGGCTGAAAATATGGGGGTGAAACTTCATAAACTGAAGGGCCTTGAAAAAATCATATTGTAAATATTAGACCAGCAGCAATTTTTTGGAGGCAAGTTTCCTTTGAAGACAAAAGATGACTCATATGACCAGCAATGCAACTAGGAAAAGATAATTTGACTAATACTCCAAACAGCCAGAAAATAGACTTCCGCTTCTCAAAGAAACAAGCTGGTGCAAGATAAATTACAATCCTTTTGAGTGGGTGCATCCTGATGTACTGTAAACAGAGCCATACCTTTCCCATGATTGCTCGAGTTTCTATGGTATCTGGTGTATAAAGGATCTTCCCAAGCACCATTGGTTTTAAAAAAGACCAAATTAAAGCTCCAGTTGGGGTCTTGACCAGGTCCAGGTAAAAGGATAAGCAAAACGGTGCTGCAAGGGGAGAAAAGCAAACAAATTGCACAGAGCACAAATAGACAAGACATGAAAAAGTTACCACTGTATTTTTTCCCATCTGCCCAGTTTGTTGCTGCGTCCAGTGAATGACTTCAGGGCCCTCTTCACTGACTGATATAATGTGTTCTGACAAAAGCAATCCACCCCCAAGATCTCCTGCTGCTGAACTCAAGACAACAAGAGTCTCACTGTTTGAGCCAAGATTCTCTGCTTGAAGGTTAAATGGAGTTTTGTGAACTCAGAGGAGCTAATAATGTCAGTACAGACGGAAAAACTACACATCAAGAAAAGGCAGCAACATGTCAAGCCCTAAGACCAGGTCATCAACAAATGGGAAACAGCGCAGTGTCAAGCACTGTTTTGCTACATAGCCTGTTTTCCCTTTAACATTTATGGAAATAAATAACCAATAATTAGGGCAGTGCAGATCTTCAGCTAGCATAAATCATGAGCACTTACAGCCCTCCAGAGACATACAGGGGAACAGCTCAACACTGGATCTCTCTGGAAACAGTGGAGTTTGGCTTTGAAATGTTTTTGCCTTAAGAAAAAGCCAGACTTACTGGAGTCATGAGGAATCCCATATTTCCTCATCATCTTTTGGACATAGACATCCTCCACAGAAGAACTGTTGATTACAGGGTCTCCAAAATCTGGAAGCAAGGACTCAAAAAACAGGGGTGTGATCTCCTGGTTGCAGAGAACTTTTGACATGGACTTAAATGTGCCACGTGTTATCCTAAAGTTGTTTGGTTTAAATAACGCCTGCAGAAAAGACAAAATGCAAGTAAATCCTGCATGCTAAAAGCTTCCCATTCTGAGGTGATTAATGGGCATTTCTCCAATTGCTTTCACAAGCTGACCCCTTCTAGCACACCAGTATATTTTGCTGGAAGTCCACCCTCCTTCAAGACAGTTGTTTATCCCCTGCATTTTTTCTCCTAGAGTTCCTCCCACAGCACATGTTCCTAGTGTCCCTCCCATCATGAGCACGTGATGGTCCCACCACTCCAAATCAAAGCTCTCCCAGGAAGGCAACATGTAAGTTTCACAGAGATTCTTCTTAGGACACCATTGCTTTAAAAGAGAACCAGTAATCTATGATTTAATGCACCTTTGGCTTCTAGGATAAGAAACTCCTGTGGAAACTGTTCCAGCGGTGTTTTGCCTCCAGAGCACATGCAGACTACACGTACCTTAGTCAGTGGCACATTTCTAGACTGACGGAGCTTTTTCAGTGAATGAATAGCTTGTAGCAATGGATCAACGCCAGATTCAATCTGGTGTCTGAAATATTTCATTTTTGTCAGAAGGCCTAACATCTTGTCCATGGGTTTCTGAAGTTCCTTAGGGAAAAACATCTACAAGAGGCAGGAAGAAAATCAGTTATGATC